GGGGATCCCTAAGTTACTTGAGTGATGTAGAGTATGTTAGCCATTCCCTCCCCACAGACCTAATAGTCACAGCTGCATTGAAAACAGTAGGTGTTTTAGCTTCTACGAGCAGCTGAATGGAGACAGGTTAGGAAGCCAGGGGAACTTTGACTCAATATATTGACATTTATGGCTCTTGAGTAAGCTGGTGACAGGAAACGACAGACGAATATATCACAAGTTCCCATTCACGTGGGGGAGAACAAAGCCGAGGAAGAGTTTTGACTCACAGGTTGACGTTTGGTTGGCAGTGCAGTCCCAAGGGCTCCTGTATACGGTGCCGTCCGTGTGTCTCTGCTGTCCTGAGGGCTTTGTTCATCTTGCATTTCATTTTCAGAAGAGCCCCATGGCTACTGGGAGTGGGAAGTTCCTTTGAAGAAGAGGCGAGGAGGTCTATTAGAGAACTTCTCTCTGTCGGTATAAATAAGTTCTTGCTTTTTTCTTCTTTATGTTCCATAACCGTCTCTTTTGCAAACTTACATTTCCTCAAGTAATGATATATCCCACTGTGGGAAAAAAAAAAAAAGCCAAAGCTTTTAATATTTATCCTGTAATGTTTGCTGAGTGGATTAAAGTTATGACAAAATATCTTATCCGAGGACTTATTTCAGTGATTTATTTAATATCGCTATATAAAAAGTTGATATTCTAACACTAAACAATATGCAGGAGTTAGTTATAATTTATAAGGAATATGTTTTGTTTATTAAAAAAATAATGAAATAGAAACAATAAATCTTCCTAATTCCTTCAGAGTATACCATCGGTCAGTCTGCTCTCCACCACAGATAGTGTCATCCCTTCATTTTAGCACTGAATGGGGAGTACTGAAATAAAAATATATTGGACATATTTTTCATCTCCATATCAACAAGGATGTGAGAATGAGAGAGTTATGAAGCTTCCCTTTTGTAAAGCAGACTTTAAATGGAGAAGGTAACACATTTTTCAAGTGTGTTGACCTGGCAGGCCTGGAAGAACACAGTTGAAAATGAAGAGGTGGTGGAGGGGTGGGAAGAGGGTTGTGGAATGATGGTGTCAATGAAACCCAGTGTGAGGGAATGAAAAACGACATCACCTGCGTATTGCTGACACCCACACACCATACAGGGCTGAGAAGCATAGCAAATTCAAAACTTGGTGAAGTGAGAAAGTGGAAAGGAGATTTAAAGGGACAGCCTTGTCAAATGTTCCATTTTAGAGGGGAAACAAGTTAAAAATAAAGCATTTTGGCTGTTTTGTATGTTTGATGCTCATCCAGTATGAATTTGCTTGGCTCCAGAAATAGTAAGCTTCTTTCCTTAGAGGTGATTATTCTTCCCACCTGTTCCTTCCTTTCCCTCCCACAATATCAAGCTCTTACAAACTGGATTTGAATGAGCCGCTTCTTTAAGAGGCATTTATAGATGGAAAGATTAGAGGTGCACAGAAGAATCAGGGACTTGCCAAGTCTCAGGGAGACAAAAGTGGCTTTTATTTTATTTTAGAAGATATGTACCACGTCAAGTAAACTGTCAAAATGATCTCAGATTTGTGTTGTGGCCATATTTTCACTAAAAGCCAATAATTTTTTTGAGGAGGCGAAGATAAATCTCCCTTAGAAGTACCAGATTATCCTCTACATGAAGCTACCGGATGGATTTTAGAAAGGCATTACTAGGCCGACAAGCTGGGAGTTCGTGGCTTACCCCTGGATCTTCTGGGCAATCAGGTCATTTTCAAAACAGAGGATTGGCAACTGTAATTTTTTTTCTTTTTTGAAAATTCAGTAGCTTATCAAAGTACCCAGCTGGCTCTGGTTGTTTTACTTTATTTTTATTTTTTATGTTTTATATATAGTTTTAGTCACTTTTATCTTGAGAAGAGAGATGATCACTAGACCTTAGAGAATTCAGAAAGTGCTGTATTCATTTTTATTAATTGCCACTGTCACCATGTGCCCAAAGGACTCAGGTAGATGCCACTAGAGGTTTATATTGTGAACAGAAAAAACTCCTAAGCACGTGTATACAGATTTCTGCACGTGTCACAACTGCTGTCATTCATTGTCCAACAGGACAGTTGAATTAGAGTCCAAAGGATTGAACAAAAGCATTTGGGATCCTGGTGATCAAATGTGTCTTGGTCTTTCCTACAGAGCTTATGGACATGTGGCTGTTACTGGGCGAGCACAGACAGACCACTGCAGACTGTTCGGACAGGAGGCGAGCATGGGTCAGCAGCTCCCTGCCAAGGCTTTACAAGAAAGGTAAATCTGACTACGGAAACTCATGAACTGCACTGGTGATGAGGAAGAGCAAGGTGCCTGGGTGGATACAGGCCTGACCTTTGCTCGGCTGCGTAGTCCCTGCCGGTCAGCAGCACAGGGAGCAGGGAAGAGCCGAGTGCATCAATGTGAGCTTTCAAAAATTCCAGCCCACAATTTTAGAGAGAGAAGAAAAGAGATAATAGTAATAATTACAGCTCGAATGCAGTTTACTCCAGCAGAATTGGTTTCCAAAATTAGAATATTTTCCTTCTACCGCAGCAAAATCCCCCTGCAATAATAATAATAATAATAATAA